ACTGGGGACCTTGGTGAAGTCGGTTTCAGTAATGCAGTGGAAGTGGAACCACCCACTCAGTGGCATAGTAGAATTCAAAATAAATGGGAGAGTTCAAATGAGTAAATTTATGTTCTCTTATGAGGAACTTAGCTGTGAAAGGAACCTTATAGAGGAGTCCAAAAGATAGAGGGATATATTAATTTTTGAAGTAAGAGATGCATGAGTATAATTGATAATTTATACAATAGGATCAGGTAGAGCAAAAGGAAGATGTGAGAATTATTCTTGATGCACCTCACCATGATGCCACAGAAATGGAGAGATGGCTACTTTTTTATGGTTGCTAAAGCAGAAATGCACAGGACATCTTGTTTGTCCTTACCTATAGAACAAGTATTTTTAAATCTACAAAGGCAACACAGCCACAACAGTAGCCTTCCCTCTCATTCTCCTCTCTTCCACCATGGACAAATATGTTTCTTCTTAGATGTACCCTTTCAACAAGAAACGTTAAGATCTACTTCCTTGTTCAAGCCCCAAGCGTAAGTAATCCTCAATCCTTCCCCTGAGATTTTATCCAAAGGTATCAACTACGTTCTTTTCTGTGTATTTTCACTACTGTATTCTAGTTGAAAGTATCCATGTGTTATGCTTGGATTGCAATAGCAGCCTTCCAACTTTTCTTCCTGCCTATCTACAGTCACTTCACTCCCCATTCTTCATCTATTCTCCAATTAGCAGACAGAGTAAATGTCATAATACTTTAAATGAAGTCAAGTCAGTCTCTGGCTTCAAGTCTTTGATAACTTGGCATGTTATCAAAGTGTGGGCATGTGGTAAATGATAACTACTGTCATCTTTATCAGACTTTTTCTTTCTCTTTCTCTTTTAGTTTCCCCTTTTCCTTCCTTTATTCTCTAATAGCAAAGCCATTATTAAAAGAGACTGATCATCTTACTTGAAACATATAGCAACTGATAGATTTACGGCAAATATAACCAGCATCAATGTGGCTTATTTTTGTCATAAACATTTGACCCCTAGTTAATGCCTCATTTGAAAGAAATGGGAGTAAAACATTGTTTCTATCACTGGTGTTTTACTAGGCCTTCCAATTCCCAATAATAAGACAATACTTTAAAAAAACATTGACTTTTATTAAGCAGATGACAGACAATATTCATGTATACACCATGTGTTTCAAGGATATAAATCAGAGTGATATTTTTAAGTAAAATAGAATAAAAAGACAAAACTCTTATATTCAATCTTTTTTTTTAGTTCAGATAATATAATTTATTTTGCTTTTGTTGAGTGTAAACAAAATGTTGTAGGCTTCAATGAGCATTGCAGTTTAGCCTCCTATATGCCTTTTCATTTCTTTTTCTTTTTAAAATATATTTTATTAATTATGCCATTACAGTTGTTCTATTCCCCCTTCATTCCCCTCCACCCTGCACATCCCCTCCCCTACCATCCCCCCTTTAGTTTATGACCACGTGTCTCAAGTTCTTTAGATTCTATATTTCCCATGCTATTCTTGCCCTCCCCCTATCTATTTTCTACCTACCATCTATGCTACTTATTTTCTGTACCTTCTCCCCCCTTCTCCTCTTCCCACTCCCCTGTTGCTAACCCTCCATGTGATCTTCATTTCTATGGTTCTGCTCCTGATTTAGCTGTCCTCTTAGTTTGCTTTTGTTTTAGGTGTGGTTGTTAATAACTGTGAGTTTGCTGTCCTTTCACTGTTCATCTTTTTTAATCTTCTTTTTCTTAGGTAAGTCCCTTTAACATTTCATATAATAAGGGCTTGGTGATGATGAACTCCTTGAATTTGATCTTATCTGAAAAGCACTTTATTTGTCCTTCCATTCTAAATGAAAGTTTTGCTGGATAGAGTAATCTTGGTTGTAGGTCTTTGGATTTCATGACTTGGAATACCTCTTTCCAGCCCCTTCTTGCCTGTAAGGTCTCTTTTGAGAAATCCCCTGACAGTCTGATGGGAAGTCCTTTGTAGGTGACTATCCCCTTATCTCTTGCTGCTTCTAGGATTCAGTGATCAGGATGCTCATAGAACTGGTTGATTTCAGTCACAAATTAGAGGAACATATGGAAGCTAAACTAATTGAAATGAAGGGAAATAAAGAGGAAACCAATAGTAATGGAAAGGAAACTGGGACTCAAATCAAAGGAGTGGACCAGAAGGAGGAAAAAAATGACCAAACAGAAAAGGATGAAGAAACAAGAATTCAAAAAAATGAGGAGAGGCTTAGGAACCTTCAGGGCATCTTTAAACATTCCACCATTCAAATTATAGGGGTACCAGAAGGGGAAGAGGAACAGTCACGAGTGGAAAACTTATTTGAACAAATAATAAAGGAGAACTTCCCCATTCTGGCAAAGGCAATAGACTTCCAGGAAATCCAGGAAGCTCAGAGAGTCCCAAAGAAGTTGGACCCAAGAAGAACACACCAAGGTACATCATCATTACATTAGCCAAGATTATATTTGATCTTTTTAAGAAGTAAAATCTCACAACCAAAATTTATATAACAGCAGTGATTAGAACTAGGAGCATAACATTGGCAAATAAGATCTGAGGGTTTATTTTTAATAAAGTATTAACTTTAATGCTAAAAGTAAAGGCACTACAGGAAAAGCTGTAAAAAATCTCATCTACTGGAAAAAAATTATTCCAAGGAAGGTGAAATGGAATTGGACAAAGAGAGTGGTTACTAATTTTGGTGGTACAATTGCTTGTGACGTCCAAATATGATTCTGAAAAGATAATATCCTTATATGGAGTTGGTTATCAAATTGGACGACACCGATTTCAAATTCAGACATTTCCAGGGAATATGCAGATACATGATATATATATAATATACTATTATAATATTATATACAGTAGAATTTTACTTGTATCATATGTGTAATAAAACACTCCTTATGGCCTAAGTGGATGAGAATAAAAGAAACTTGTCTTTGCTTAACTAAGAAGTTGTAAAAGCCATGAAAGCAGTACTTTAGGATCATTACCCAGCTTCCATTCTGGTGATGATGTAATCAAGTATGTGACCACGGGTCTGGCTCTGGACTTGTCACTTCTTCCTTAAGATGAAGGGAAAAATTTCCTCTTTCCTCCTCTGATAGTTCCATTCTACAGGTTGGTTGTTTTTTGGGGGAGGGGAATAATTTGTTATTGCAGCATATTGAATGTTATATTAAGGGAGTTTATGGGGAATCTGAAAGCTTACTTCAAAAAACAGAAGTAGTCCTTATAACTTAAGAGAGTAGGCTTTGGACTGTCTTTCTCTAGGGAACTTAACCAATAATCCCTTTATAATTATTTAGTGTTTTGCATATCTCTCTACTGTTTTAATAATAGACCAAGTGTGATCAGTAAGCAGAGCTTGGACTGGTATTGAGTGCATTATTTTGAGTTGTTTGTTTTCCATGTTTTAATGCCTGTCTTTATAATGCAAAATAAATCCTAATTACTTCATGTAAAAGGCATTCTAAAAGAATATTTCTGAAGTTATTAAGGTAATGCAACTAAATGGGAAAATAGTTACTTTTATTGGTTGGAGGCATGAAAAGGAAGGAGTGGAAAAGTTGCTTTAGAGGTCTAGAAATTCACTGTTTTGCTTATAATTATATTATTCTATTTTGCAAATATCTACTATAAGCAGGGCACTGAGTTCAGTGCTAAATATAAAACAGTAGTTAAGAAATTATATGCGGAATGGATCTCAAGGTCCTTATTTTTGTTTTTACATGCGACATCTATTTGCTCATTTGTATTTATGGAACTTTTCATCTATATAGCATGTTATTAAGCTTCACACTAAGTCTGAAAGTTAACAGTTCAGATTAATAAGCAAATAAAAGTGTCTTTTAAAGCATGCAATGGAAAAATGTGTTCCTTTTGAATTTTGAAAAATCTATACACAAAATGTCTATCTATATGTCAAAGATACTCAGGTGTTAGCTAAGTATTTTGCAGGCCAAATATATAATTTAAGGTGAAAGAAAGAATATGCATTGGAAAACAGAGTTGGTTCATAGTAGAAATTAATCATAAAATCTTGGTGTCTTGGTTGTATTTGCATATTTTATTACTTATATGGGTGAAAATATACTATATTCAATAGTGTAATGAACAAAGATCACCAGAATAAAGTTTCATGAAGGAAGATATCTTATTTGTCTTATTCATTATCCTGTTCATTATCTAGTGCCCAGTTCAGTGCCTGGTATATATCAGAGCCTTAACACATATGCTTTAACATAATACCATGAAAAGAGATAAGCTAAAGTCTTGAGACTTAGCATCTGGTCATAGTGTTCTCTCTAAGCCAAGCTCTAGGCCAAGCCATTTCACCTTCACTGGCCCTCATTTCCCTCATCTTTGAAAAATAAGAAATTTCTAGTTTCATGAGGATGCATCTGATTTTATAAAAGTACTTGATTATTGGAGTATTACATCTGAATAACTCTGTAATCACTGTCTTTAAAGAAATGCATTTTCAGAGGTGATATAATTACTAACACTATAAATTAGTTCACCTAGTATTTGTACTTAAATTTTCGGGATCCTTATTTCCTATTATCACAGTAAATAGTTGTAATACCATTTCCCCTATAGAAAGTGTGCATTAAGCAGTAAGGATAGAGTGGTGTAGTCTCCTGACTTTTTTTTAAAGGGAAATATGGAGTTGGAGTTTAGAATGAATTTTTTTCTTTAATCTGCACTGTGATTGCTGCAGGTCAGGATTGAGTTTGAGAACAGGCAGGCTGGAGTCCTTGCACTAAAAGGTGGTGTGTGAAGAGATAAAAGGGGGTGCCTACTTCTGGAGCTGAGACAGTATTCATGTCAAATGAAAATAACAAGTTTGAATGCATCCTTGTGGAAATCTGGAGCAGTTATTAGTCTAAGATAATATGAAATTAACATATTCTAAAATCATATGTAAAGTATGTTTTATTAATCCTTCTCAATCAATTTAATTTTTCAGATCTTCAAGAATTTTACTGGGATAATTATCCAAACAAAATTCCAAGAATTCTATCCAAATGGTAAGTAGAACTTTTTGTTATATCACCAAATCTGTTCATCAGAAATTAATACAAGTTTCTGAGTATTGAAATGAGAAACATGAAATGGCATTACCCACTCATATTTTAACTTTTTTTTAATAGAAAGCAAAACCACTAGAATTTCCTTTTATTTTTGAATTATCATGCTGGAATGTAAATATATGCCATGTAAACTTGTGGACTATTTATCAATCTCCTCTAAAATCCAAAATACATTAAAATGTTGGGAATTTAATTTCTCTGCTACTAGTAAACATTTTGTAAACCATATTTAGGTAGAACTGTATATAAAAATATTTCAAATTATCTTTTCAGATAATTTTGTTATTTATTTTCTTATAGTAAAGTTATAAAAAGAGCATTTATGAACTTCAATAGAGACATAATTATCAACACATTAAAATGATATTGGACTCTGTATCTCATCCATTCTGACATCTTGATAAACCAGTCAAAACTTACTTTTGGGATAATCTTCATTAAGAGTTTATTTCTTCATTTTTAAAAATATTTTATTTATGTATTTATTTTTAGAGAAAGGGGAAGGGAGGGAGAGAGAGAGGGAGAGAAACATCAATCAGTTGCTTCTTGCACGCCCCTAACCAGGAATCTGGCTCACAACCCAGGCAAGTGCTCTAGGCAGAAATTGAACAGGCAACCTTTCAGCTTGTGAGATGATGCCTATTCCACTGAGCCACAACAGTCAGGGCTATTTTTTCCTGTTTTGAGATGGGAGATATGAAGTCATTATTCATCTTGTAGAACCACTTGGAAGTAACCGAGAACTGTGCCCTTGAAACTTGCTGCTTAAGTTTGTGACTGCCATGATGTCAGGCAGAGGGGCTCTAAGTCTTTCAACAGTGTTGGGTCTGAAGGAGATATCTAAACACACAATTCTCTATCTGGCCTCCTGACACCAGCAAAGTGCTTTGAAATCTCTTTTGTTATTTTTCCTCACTTCACCTGAAAATATGTTCATAATGTACAGATTACACAAATTTAAATACAAATAAAAACAAAATAACCATATTTTATTTACCTAAACATAACCAGTTAACTTTTTGTATAAATTGCCAAGTGTTTTCAGTATATGAAAACAGTCTACTGTAGGAATTCAGAAAGTGACCATGATGATGATGTAAGATTTACATTCACCCTGTTTGCCCACAAATGACTCTGTAGCCTGAGTTTGAGTCCCTTCCCCAATCACCTCTCTGAGCAGTTGACTTGCTAATGTAATATTCTCCTTGAATAGCTGGAAGCTTATTATTTTATCCCATTGTATATGTACTTTTTTATTTACCTGATAGTTTGGAGGAATGCTCCAAGTTAGGATGCTACAGTATGTTTTTATTGCTTACCATCTATTTAGTATTATTAAGGAGGTTATATTGAAACTTTTATGTTTTCTATAGTGATATATATTATTATGTATAATATATATTATTTATATATTATATTCTGTCACATATATACTATAATAGTATAGTTATATTGTATAAAATTTATATATGTTAATGAGATTTCTAATTTTGGAAAAAACTCACTAGTATAATAATAAGGTCACAGAATTTATTTTGGAGATGGTATTTACCATATAAAATGTTTCATCCAGTTTTCAAGAATTTTGTTGGAATTTTACTTATTGACAATTTCAACCTGACATTTACTAAAATATTGCCTGTTTTATTAGCCTTTCATATTATTAACATATATTAATAGGTTATAGTCTTATGGTTTGCAAAGTTATTGCTGAATAGATTTGATAGGCTAAAATTTTAATTTGTATGTGTTTTTTATGTATTTCATATGTCAACAGTTTGCAAATTTTATTGGTTCTTTCAGAAAGCAAAAAAATTCTGGCATTATTTATTCTTTGTTTAAAAAAATAATTGATTAATTATGCTAAATATTTTGTCTATTTCTCATTCCATACATAAAAATTATTAGATTTATATCTACAAAAGTGTATAAATGTGTATCTTGGGTTGTTTATGATAAGGTTTGAGTATAATCAACTTTTTAAATGTTTGGGAAAATATGAAAACTGGAAAATGTGTAGGAAAATATGTAATCCATGCCATATACTAAGTAGAATATAGTTCTATGAATTTAACAGAAGTAATTATATTATTCAGGTTTCATGTTTGTGTATTCTGTCTACTGGACAGAGATGAGGCTTGCTCATGCAAATTCTTAAAAAGTTCAAATAATCCATTTGGATCTATACTCCAGAGACAAAGCTCCCACATACAAGCTGGGGAATTATCTGAGTAACAGTACTGAGGAAGCTGAGCCCCGGAGAATGGGGAAGATCAACTGCAGTACGTGGAACACTAGGGCCAGAGAGAAGAACTAAGAATCTACTTAGACCCAGGATTCATGCTGTTTAAGAATCTGACCTTTAGAAATGCCCTCCTGTCTCAAAGATATTGTTAGTGTTTGAATTCTTTCCCAAGGCTATTCCTACTGTCTTCCACTTTTCCTTCAACTAAGACATTTACTCCATCCATTTTTCTTCTCAGTATATATTTTGTGGTCTCTTGTGAATGTTATTTTGTATTTGTTTATTTTTGTCACTCGTGAACTGTAAATCTTAGAACTACAACACAACAGGTGATAATTGAGCTTTAGTAAGCACTTGGGTTCATTATGAAACTAAGTGAAAAGATTTATGTTTGGTTTTCTCATAAGCCTCTTTAGGAAAAAATCAGGTTCCAGATAAATAATTTGTTTTAAGATAGAATGACATTTACTCAGTATGTCAATACCAAGTGTTGTGCTGACAACCCAAGGCCTAATTTACTGTATCTTAGAGATGGAGGCTACTACGTTATTTTGCTTTTTTTAAAATCATCATATCCTGAATGCCAAATTTCAGTTTTTAAATGAGGTAGAAGAAATTGTTGTTGTTGAGGCCAAAACAAACCTAAATTAATATAACATAAAAGTAGAAATCAAAAGCAATGAAAGTTGAACAATTCACAGCAGCCCCTCAAGAGTGTTTGAGTTACCAATAATTAAAACAGTTCTATATATGATAAAATAAGGCTGATGTAGTTTGGGCTGGTTGGTTGTCTTCCTGGACCCTTTTTTGAGTAATCTACAAAATAAGGGTGTCCTATAACTGTAACTTCTAAAAGTACTTATACCTTCAGAACCATTTTCCTGTTTGGGTAGTGCTTCCCCTGAGGAGACATCTCTATTTTGAAAAGATAAAAGGTACTGCACAAATTATGCCCTCCAGTGATGCAATAGACTATTGACAGTGACCATGGACAACATACCAAGTATATGAAGTCATTGCACCGTTCTAAAGCAGAGGTTCCCTTTTCCCGGTATTTGCGTGACCTTCTATGATACTTAGTTCCTCCAGTTTGCATTAGTGTATCTTTGATTTGATAACATGAAGATACTCAGAACTTGAATGAGCTCAATCTTTATCTCTAACCTGCACCTCCTACCATTTCCTGTTTCTGGTTGATGGTTGATAGCAATCTGTGCTGGAAATCTAATAAGCTCTCAACATATCATCTTTATTCAATTCATATTTTAGCTATACTCTACTCTGTCCTATCCTTAACCAATCTTTGTGAAAATCCTATTGATCACATATTCACATTTAATCTCAAACTTCTCTGTACCTCTGTACATATTACCTCAGTTTTAGAATGACAAAATTGGCTCCTTGATATTTTATAAGCTCCTAATTATTTCTATATTCTCTCCTCTCTTGTTCATCAACCACACTGCCATCAGACTACTTCCTAAAATTTGTATGTGATCATGAGAATCAACCCTTCAAAAATTTTGATGACTCAATTGCTTAGAGGAAAAAGCCCGAACTCCTCAGCATGATTTTCTTCACACCTCAGTACCAACTTTATCTCTTCTCAATTTATTTGCCATTCTTGTCCCCACTTTCGTGAATATAATCACACTTTATTGTGTATTATGGTGGGTTTTCTTGTATTTAGACCATTCTCTGATGCCTGGTGGATATCTAACCGATGTTGCTCATCATTATTTTAAGAAGACTTCAGTTTAAAATAAGCAGATGCTTATCATGTCCTGGGTAGTTTGAACTAAGGAGACATTGTTTAGTTTGGTAATTTATAGGGACCTTTGACATTTTGTATTAGGGGAATATCACACAAATAAGATCCATATATGTGACTTAGAACTGATCTACTCTGAACTATGTTTTCTGAATGTGAAGTTGAGGCTTGAAGTATGAGAGACTTATTCAGAGTAATAGTTATAGCTGCTTAACACTCTGAAATTGCCTGCTTCTAAATCTGTGGAGGCTAAAGTAAACAATGGTTCATGTCCTGAGTATGGGTTTAAGAAATGTGAGGAACTGTAACTATTACATAATACAAGTAGATTGTTCTGATTTAATTAAGAAAGTATTGTGTGTGTATATATACACATATATATATATATACACACATCAAATAATTTGCCTCCAAGACTATATTGTTATGATTTTCCCAATGTTCATATTTAAATATTTATGATTATGTAATTTCCATTCTTTTTTAGAACATGTAATTAAACATTTGAATTTTAAACTAAAGAGTAGGTCTGAGCTTGTAAGAAGTCAGAGTCCTGTGGATGCCTGAAAGATTTAAGAGAGATTAATAACAGATTGAATGAATTTAGCAGTTATTTCCAAAAACTTACCTTAAATAAATGTTGTTTCTCTTTGTCTTCAATATAGGAAAAGCAGCCAAGCTAGATTGTCCTATCATAGTTTTATTTAGTCAAAAGTTTTCAACCAAGTGTTAAGTCTTTGTAATTACACATTTTAAATGTTAATAACTTGGTCTTAATCACTTCTTTCCAAGGGTCAAGGTATGTTAGCTCTTAATAGTGTCATACACACATAGCATTCCACACACATCGTCCATAACACAGTCTGAGCAGGCGACAGACTGGTCATTTAAATAATAAAGAAAACTTGACTGAAGGTACAG